CCAGTTCTGAAGAAAGAAAGGAAAGAAAGAAAGAAAGAAAGAAAGAAAGAAAGAAAGAAAGAAAGAAAGAAAGAAAGGAAGGAAGGAAGGAAGGATATTGAGTGGGAATCTATGTTGGCCATGAATTGATAGTGAATATGGCCTACTTTTTCGTGTTTGAAATTTTTCCTTCCCTTTTTTATGTATTTTGTACAGGGTCTCACTACACAACTTAGACTTGTAGTGATCCTCCTGTTTTCAGCCTTCCCAGCCCTGGGGAAATTTTTCATAATAAAAAGTTTTATTACATCAGTTTACAAGAATCTCTATGTTATTAAATGACCGCTGTTATCAACTCAGGAAGGATGCATGACCAGCCAGATGTGGTGGCTCACACCAGTAATCCTAGTGATTAAAGGTCTGAGGCTGAGGCCGGAGGATCAGGCCAGCCCAGCCTACACAGTGAGTTCAAGGCCAGCCAAAACAGTGAGACCCTGTCTGAAAAACAAAAAAAAACAGGATGTGTGACCAGAGAGCAGGGATTTAATGGGAGAAAAAAAGGTGGAACACAAGAAGACATAGCATGTAAAGAGGCTGAAAGGAAGGCAAGGGATGAGCAACTGGCTTTAACTGCTATAACTTATTTGTCATATAACTTCACCCAGTAAACCTGAAGATCCTGAACCCCACCACAGCATGCCGGGGTGACAGTGGGTTCTCACAACTGGGTGACAGGGAGGTAGCAGAAATTCTACCCACTATCCATTGTCACTGCCACCATGACTGCCTGGTCCTTATTTTTAGAGAGTGAGATTTCACAAACTGCAAAACCAATCTGTCCTGTCACAGACTCCTAAAATGAACCTGAATCACCATGGTAACAGCCAAGGCAGGCAGATAAGAGTTACAAAAAAGCAGGTTAAAAAACAAAAGTCAGAGAAAGCCTCCTCTCTGCCCCTCAGGATCCAGCCTAGAGCTCTAGGGATTAGGTACCCATGAGGATGCACTGCCTCCCTGCCATCCCCATGGCTTCCACAGAGCTCTGTGTATACAACACCATGTCTGTGTATCCAAGGGAAGGATCGTCATGGGTAAACTGAGGCATGGAGAGACTAAAGCCCCTCTCTAAAGTTTGACAAGTATCAGAGATGGGACAGAAGTGCTGTCCACCTGGTGACAAGGCCCATGTCCTTTCCTCACTAATGCTGTAGCACTCAAGTGCTCATTCAGAATTATGTCTGTAAAGCTTTATGCCACTACTTACAAAATAAGTACTACCCACAATGTGATAAATGCAAATATAAAAATAAAATTAACTGTAAACATTTAAAAGTACAAAGTACTTTCAGAACTAATGTTTAATTCATCTCCTAATTGTCTAAATATTATATTCCGAAAATAATAATAAAAGGGAAATCTCTTTCCATGAAGGATATTTGAGGGGAAAAATGTCCACAAGTGAAGGACTGTGTTAATGGTGGATCAAACAAGCAATATTCTAGGATAAATTAAAATTACACTGTTCAGTTTCGGTTTCCATACATAGCTTCTTAAATAAGTGGAACAATGCCAAGCCATCACATTCTTGTTTGGAGTTTATAATAAATCCTTTATTTAAAATTTTTGAGCCAAATGTGGTGGCACATACTTTGCTGCAGTTAGGGCTTGCAAGGGAATAGATTT